CCTAGATGTCCACTATTATGGAACTTTGATTTTCTAAATGTATTTGATAAATACAGATAGTACTTCAAAAAGTTCATGGAAAAATAGAATTAAAAGATAATACAGCCTTTTCATGAACTTTTGAAGACCCCACATAGGTACTTTTTCCCCTCATTTATCTGGGAAAGTTCAGAAAGCATACTCACAAAGCTATTTGAACATATTAAACAGCTGTTTAAGTATATTGCTAGAATTTAATTAGAATAAATTGTGTTGGTATACAAATACAGAAAAACATTTACAGAGCTTAGACAGCTCAGTGATCCCCACTGGTCCATACTGCTCCAAATACCTGTAATTTACAAGGTTATGTCAATATGCCTAAGAAAAAGGTAGAGATAAAACTTTGCACCAAATACCCAACAAGTAACAGTCAGTTCCTCACAGTCAGTAAATGTAATCCTCATTAAAAAAAAAAAAACACTTTATTATTATACTTCTTTTGCAGCTATAGAACCAGGCTTTGAAAGATTATGGGACTCACTGAAGGCCAAATAGCTATAAGTGGTACCTGTGAGATTTGAATCAACATGCTCTTTGTTTTCTTAATTGGTTATAAATATTCATGAGATACAAAGCTGATTGTCACCCCTCATGCCCAAGACGTGAAGACCAGATGCATACTGGCAGCATACCCATTACCACAAATTGTGTTTGTACCCCGTGTCCCCTATCCAATTAGCCCCAACCTCCCTCTCCCTCCCCCTTTCCCCCCACTCCACTTTGTATCCCTAGGTGTGTTGTCTCCCTCTGCAAGTTCAATGCACCACTGTGGTCTTTCTTTCCTGCCTTCTTTCTCTCTTAGCTCCCACTTATGAGTGAGCACATGCAGTATTTATCCCTCTGTGCTTTGCTTATTTCACTCAACGTAAGTTTTTCCAAACTCATCCATGTTGTTGCAAATGGGAGAATGTCATTCTTTTTATGGCAGAGTAGTATTCCATGATGTATATATACCACAGTTTCCTTATCCAGTCATCTATCGATGCACATTTAGGTTGGTTCCATGTCTTGGCTATTGTAAACAGAGCTGTGATGAACATGGGAGTGCAGGTATCTCTTCGACATGATGATTTCCATTCCTCTGGGTATATACCCAGAAGTGGGACTGCTGGATCATATGGAAGATCTATCTGTAGTTGTTTGAGAAACCTCCATACTGTTTTCCATAGTGGTTGTACTAATTTACAGTCCCACCAATAGTGCAGGAGCATTCCCTTCTCTTTACACCCTCGTCGGCATTTGTTATTCACCATCTTTTTGATATAGCCAGTCTAACTGGGGTGAGATGGTATCTCAGTGTAGTTTTGATTTGCATTTCCCTGATGATTAGTGATGTTGAGCATTTTTTCATGTACCTGTTGTCTATCCGTATGTCTTCCTTTGAAAAATGTCTATTCAGCTCCTTTGCCCATTTTTTAATTGAGTTATTTGCTTTTTTACTGTGTAATTGCTTGAGTTCCTTGTATACTATGGATATTAATCCCTTGTTGGATGCATAGTTAGCAAAAATTTTCTCCCACTCTGTAGGTTGTCATTTCACTCTGTTGATTGTTTCCTTTGCTGTGCAGAAGCCTTTTAGTTTGATATAGTCCATTTGTTTATTTTTTCTTTTCCTGCTTGTGCTTTCAGGCTCATGTTCATAAAGTCTGTGCCCAAACCTAGTTCCTGAAGTGTTTCACCTATATTTTCCCTTAGTAATTTTACAGTTTCAGGTCTTAAGTCTTTGATCCATTTTGAGTTGATTTTAGTATATGGTGAGAGGTGCATATTTAGTTTCATTCTTCTGCATATGGATATCCAATTTTCCATAGTACTGGAGGTACTAGCCAGAGCAATCAGGCAAGAGAAATAAATAAAGGGAATCCAAATTGGAAAAGGCAAGTCAAACTGTCTCTATTTGCAGATGACATGATACTATATATAGAAAAACCTAAAGACTCTATCAAAAAACTCCTAGAGCTGGTTAATAACTTCAGTAACATTGCAGGATACAAAATAAATGCCCCCAAATCTGTTGCATTTATATACTCAAATAATGAACTAAGAGAAAGAGAAATAAAGTAAACCCATTCACAATTGTCATGAAAAAAATAAAATACCTAGGGATCAATTTAACAAAGGAGGTGAAAGATCTCTACAATGAGAATTACAAACCACTTCTGAAAGAAATTAAAGAAGACACAAAAAGATGGAAAGATATTCCATGCTCTTGGATTGGAAGAATTAACATTGAGAAAATGTCTATACTACCCTAAGCGATCTACAGATTCAATGCAATGCCCATCAAAATACCAATGACATTATAAGCGATCTACAGATTCAATGCAATGCCCATCAAAATACCAATGACATTATTCACAGAAATGGAAAAAACAATCTTAACTTTCATATGGAACAACAAAAGACCTCGAATAGCCAAAGCAATCCTGAGCAAAAAAATAAAGCTGGAGGCGTAATACTACCTGACTTCAAATTATACTACAAAGCTATTATAACCAAAATAGCACAGTACTGGCATAAAAATAGACACTCAGACCAATGGAGCACAATTGAGAAATCACCCCTCAGGCTTACAGCCATCTCATATTGGACAAAGGCAACAAAAACCTACATTGGGGAAAAGACTGCCTTTTCGACAAGAAAGTCTACATCTTCTGACACTATTTTGTTTTACTTTGGCATAGAAACCTGTACAAAAAGAATTGGCAAAATTTTTCTGTAAAAAGCCAGATGGCAAATATTTTAAGCTTTGCAAGCCATATGTTCTGTGTTGCAACTACTCAACTCTGCCCTCACAGTAAGAAAATGGCCATAGATAATATGTAAATAAATGAGTTTAGCCACATCCCAATAAAACTTTATTTACTGTCACGTAAAAAATATAGGAAGTCATTGTTTTTTTGTTGTTGTTGTTTGTTTGTTTGTTTTCCTTTTTGTCTTTTTTCGTGACCGGCAACGGGATCGCAACCCTTGGTGTCGCGCCCGCACCGCGCTCAACCAGTGAGTGGACCGGTCTCTATATGGGTTCCGAACCCTCGGCGGGAGCACCGCCGTGCTCCCAAGTGCCGCACTCTACCGAGTGCGCCACCGGGCTGGCCCGGAAGTCATTGTTTTGTTTGAGCTCTGTACTTGGCTGGAACAGGCCAGACTAAAAATCAAAATGGAGTCACCCTGCTGAAATTCACCAAACCCAAACTAAATTGTTGTCTGACCTTTGGAGAAATCAGGAGAGAGAGGTAACAGCCAATTTCCCCAACAGTCCAGTTTAAATCTTCAATCAGCATGACCATGAAGTTTCCTGCACTTTAATCCTTACACACACAAAAAGAAGTAACCTGATAATCAGTTATTTTTCTATTGTTCTGACTCCGTGTACCCGCCTTAAAAGAAAAAGTAACCCTGAAAAGTAAAACATTCTCCATTCTTTATTTCTGCTTTCTTCAGTCCTCCTCTGTCTATCAAGCTAACTCATTCTATTTTATGGAATGAGATGTTGCCAGATTCTAGAATCACAATATAGCCAATTGAGATCTTTAAACTAAATTTGCTGTAATTGTGTCCTTTGACATTACACACAGATGGTGGGCTAGATTTGGCCCAGAGGCCATGGTTCACTGACTCCTGAAATAGTTTATTAAAACATACAAACGAACCACAAAGGAAGTACGATCTAAAGATGCTCCTTTTCTGAATGTCAGAGGCATTTTTCATGACTGTTACACCTACTGTGCTGAACGTGCATCAGTCATGATTTCACTGTAAATTCACCTTCCAGTTCCTATCTCTTCCACAGGGCCAGCCTGCCTCTCTGTAATGCCAGTTCCAGCTTTGTGGATATAAACACTTTAAGTCCATGATCGGCAGCACCTTTTTTTAAAAAAAAAATGTGAGCACCAATTCAGGAAAAATAAGCTTTTTCCTCTAACCTTAGTAAAAATAGCTTTATTGAGCCCCCAAATGGAAAAACGACATATTCTTACAACTGAGATTCCTTTATCAAATATTTAGAGATGTTTTTAAAATACTGATACTGCTTTTTAGTTACCAAGGTACTAAGATCTAGGAAGAGTCATCTTTCCAATCTTTATATAGTACTTTAGGATTCAAAACGTGTCTTCTTGCACATTATTTCATACAGCTTTGAAGCCGACTTCGAAGTAGATAATATTATGGAGAAACTGACACTCAGCAGAGGTTAAGTGACTTGTCCAAGGTCTCCATTTCTTCTCTTCAACACTGAACACTGCACATTGAGCAAGTAAATACTGTGCTGGGTAGGAGGAGTGAGGAAATAAACAAGACACCACTCCTTGCCTTTTTGTCGAACTGAAAGCTGCATTTGAAATGAGATCAAAGACCTTTCTGGAAAGCCAAACAGGACATAAAGTTCTCATCGTGGGCTGCTCATCCATCACTTTATGAGATAATTCTCTCCAGGGATGCACCTACACTATCACAAATAATCATTTTTTTAAAACTCTCAAAATGTCTGGTCAATGTAAAGTTAGTTCTCATTATTTCATCTTATTTACTACTTGTTCTGAAAGTTAGTTTTATTTCCCCCAAGTAAATATAAATTCCTTACATTCTCTATTTCTGTTTCTGTCCCCTTTGAACCGATATTATTTACTACATTCCTTTCATCTGTCAATAGCCTTTCTCGTGTAGTCAGTCCCTTGTGTCTACTGATCTTTCTTCAACTTCGTAAAGAGAGGATAACTAACGTGGATTCTTTACTTGATCAGCTGTGGAACTAGTTCACAGTCATTTCTTCAAGATCTGATCTTAATTCTTTCAGATCCTGCTGGCTGGCTAATATGCATAGCTGTCCTAGTATTTTCACTGAGCATATTCTGCAGTTTGGGGCATTTCTGGTTTCAGGTAAGGATCTGTTGTTAATTTCAAGGAGTGGCTGTCACTCAGAGTCTGAGGCATGAGACCCTCTTAGCCCTGCTTACCTCTGCGATCAGATCGTGGAGCTCTCCTTCACTAGGGCAGCATCCTAAGGACCTGACAATTGTTCCAATCTCTCTGGAAAAAGAAGTTGCCAGTAGTGTTAGAAGGTCAACTCTGAAAACATATCTGTAAATTATTTCAGAGCATATGTCACAAAGCAAACCAAGTCACTCAAAGATTGCCTCATGATTATAAAAGAGACTTTCTAGGGAACCAAAGAGAGATAAAAGAAATGTTTTCATTGATTGGGAAATGAAAACCCTAACTGGGCCAAAATAAAAAAAAAAAATCTACAAAAGGACCAGAAAGGGGAGGGGGAGAGTAAGAAAAATAAATGTCAGCCCCTTACCAGGTGATTCCAAGTGTCATATAACTCTTTGGAGCCTCAGTTTCCACACCTATAAAATGGGGATAATGATGTCTACCCCAGAGGTGTGTGGTGAAGTTATGTTAGTGGCAGGGTACTTAAAAGCATGGCTTCTAGTACCGAACTGCCCAGGTTCAAATCCCAGCTGTGCGACTTGCTAGACTGAGCAGGTCACCTACCTAACCTCTGTGCACACAAGCCTACCTAGTAGGTAAAACACAGCACCTTCCTCAAAACATTTAGAACTGGGCTGGGGACACACTAATGGGGTCAAATAAGATGAGCTATTGTACTATAAAGCACAGCTCTTGGCAGAGTAGCCACTCAATAAATATTAGCTACTCACCTCACCTGCCCCCATAATTTAACAAATAACCTAAGAAAAGTATAAATTCTATTCAATACTCTCTGGATACTAAGACGGGGGATCTGAAATAGATTACTAAATATTTCCATTCAAAATGATTAAAATGAAAGTTGTGATATTTGAATGTCAATTTTATTTCACAGATATTCACTTAACTGGAATACTTCATTTCTTTGCTATTTTGGATAATTTTAGTGGAATTATATTTACTCCCTATTTTACTGAGAAACATTGTAAATAAGAATTTTTAAATTCTTTTTTTTTTTTCCTTTTTGTCTTTTTTTTTTTTTTTTTTTTTTTTTTTTTTTTTT